AGCCTTGTATTATAAGAACTACTGTTGTACTAATTACCTTAAACCAAATTTATATTAAGGCATTATGTGATAAATTGCACCATACTATCGACTATTAACAACGACATAATGAACGGTCGTAATAACGGAATGACGTTTGGCACCCGCAGACCTGCAGGTCCGACTTTAGCTGGCAGCAAGGTGTAGGATTGTCAATCCAGTATAGATCTATACGCAAACTCACGCTCTCCCTCCAAGAGAATTCTAGCTACAACTCGAGCCATGACATTTAAGTCATGCTCCGATTTAAATCACAATAATTAAAGTATTCATGTATATGTAATGTTTCTCGTTCTAGTATAGTTGTATATGTATCGTTTCTAGTATCGTTGTATATGTATTGTTTCTAGTATAGTTATATATGTATTGTTTCTAGTATAGCTGTATATATATTGTTTCTAGTCTAGCTGTATATGTATCGTTTCTAGTATAGTTGTATATGTATTATTTCTAGTATAGTTGTATATGTATTGTATTACCCCAATGGTAACTACCTATTGATGTACTGGTGAATATGAATATGGAAGTACTTTTATGTCTATATATGTATATATGATATATAACTAATATTGAAATAACCTTCGGATGGTCACCCGAAATCCCACCAGACCACATCTCAGTGCGCGAAAAGGAAATAGGGCGGATGGCCTTCCAAAGCCCTTTAAACATTACTTATATATCTATACATATACGTGCATGCAATTTATAAGAAGTAAAACAAGGTTTAAAAAAAGCATTTGATAAGTAAAAAGGGTTTGTAAAACATTTGGAAGTGAACCAGTTTGATAAACAGTTTGAACAGTGATAAAATCATTGGTTTTCTAGTTATTAATCACATATGATTAATGCAATCACATGTGATTGATGCAATAACTATAAGTATTTAACTTGTATCCCCCCCCCCATAAAGTATTTAAAACATTTAAAAGCATTTCAAAGGTTGATTAAAGGGGTATGAACTCACTTGTGGTGAGTAGATTGAATTTGATGTATCAGGTACCGTGCTAGGTGGCAAACGGAGACTTGTTCACACGTTCGAGCCTAGTTATCATATAATGAGCATATATATAACTAATTATCCAAATAATAACTTAACAAAGTAGGTTAAGACACTTAGGAACATGTATATACTTTATATAAGTGTTATAGGTCCTAATGGTTGCATCTAAGTTGATACGGGACAATGCAAAGGGGGTTTAATGCACTAATGACCTTGTATATGAGTTCACCACACAACAAACCCCACCCTTTGGAGTTTACGGCCGTGAACCCATGAGTTTACGGCCATGAACTCCTCACATGGTGGTTTTGGGTGTTTTGAAGTGCTATCTTGATCCTAGAATAAGTCTAGCCTTGTTGGAACAATCCTTGAAGTAGTTTAAGGCCTTGGAATGCTCCTTTGGGGAGTTTACGGCCAAAGGACCATATCCCCTAGAGTTTACAGCCGTAAACTCCTATGGGGTGTTGGTTTTAATTCTTTTGAGGCCCTTGCATATGTAGGATAGCTTCCATGTTTTTATCTAAGGCTAAAGGGAACAAGAGGCACACATTTGTGCCTTCACCTGGAGTTCACGGCCCAAGATATGTTCCTTGGCTATAAACTCCCTTTAAGGAGTGATTTTTATGTCTTTTGATCCCCATTAAAGTCCCAAGTAGTCAAGGTAAATTGTCTTAAGGCTTTTAGGGTGTTTAGGGCATCTTTAACACTTGAAAAAGGGGTTTACGGCCCAAGAGAGTTCCTTGGCCGTAAACTCCTAAAACCTTATGATTTTGAAGTATTTTGGTGTCCAAATGAAGCACAAGCATTAGAGGGTAAAGTCCTTAAGCTTTAGGGGGTGATTTAGGGCATTTATGACCCTTCAAAAGGGGATTACGGCCCAAGAGAGTTCCTAGGCCGTAAACTCCTATTACTTGTGTTTCTTGAATGATTTCTAGCCTCTAATGATCATATACTAAGTCCTTAACTAGTTGCTTAACAAGAAATTAGGACTAGGTAGCCTTTAGGCTTCGTTTCGGAGTTTACTCCCCAAGAATGTTCTTGGGCGGTAAACTCTCGGATCTTGCAGTTGAGACATGTAATTGATGTTATAAAGCATATAACAAGTATTGAAACACATTTAGGAAAGTAGACTCACAATCCGGGATGAAAACCCGAAGATCTGTCAGAGAGAATTGGCTTTTCTCTAGTTGGAATTGTGAATAATGAATTAATTAAATTCAGAAATCTATTTATAGTTCTGAAATATTTTGACAGGAAATATTTTTATTCTGGAAGTTGGACTATAACATTATGAAACTTACAATGTTCAAGTTTCACAATTACAGGAGCATCCACTCTCCTGATATATCCAGAAACGTAAACCCTAATGTACACAAACTTGTTCGGACAAGTCTGAAAATCACTGAAACTGGACTAGCTTCTATTGAATAGATAATGTTCGTACAAATGGAAATTTCGGGTTGTCACATAATCCAATACGAACATGAATACGAATGTAATCTAATACGAATATGAATACGAATGTAATCTAATATGAATACGAATACGAATGTAATTCAATACGAATACGAATACGAATGTAATCTAGTACGAATACGAATACGAATGTAATCTAGTACGAACATGAATAGGAATGTAATCTAATACAAATACGAATAGGAATACGACTACGAATACGAATAGGACTACGAATACGACTATGACTACGAATACGGATACAACTACGACTACGAATACGTCTACGAATGCGAAAATACACCTCTGGACCTCTACTGATTTTCGAATATATCCGCCTCAGAATGTCGACAGAGCTTCGAATATACGAATAATGTACTCTTTTGGAAACAGCAGAACTTCAAAATACTGTAATGTACGCTTCTGTGTCATTCCAAATATTCGAAAATACAACTAAGTTAGTAGATAATAGTCATTCGAATGTAGAATAACTAAGGGTTTAGAACACTTAACTAATACTACTCACATGTTAATTACTAGTACTTCGAAATCAGACCTAAGAGCCAACCACCACACATAGGAAAATACAGGATTTTCCTGGGTTAACATAGCAGCTAGTAACGAACTTAGAAACGAATAAACAACTCAACATATAGGAAAATATGAGATTTTCCTGGGATAGCATAACAACCAGTAAAAAACCTAGATACAAATAGACAACTCAACACATAGGAAAATATGGGATTTTCCTGGATAGTACAACATCACATAAACGGATAAAGTAACAAACGAATAACTAAAACTATAAGGAAAATATGGGATTTTCCTGGAATGATATAACCAACCGTTTTCGAAATTGTAACAAAGGATAACCAAACCGTTTTCATAAGAAAATATGGGATGTTCTTGATCAACAACTTTTTCAGAGTGTAAAGGAAACTCGTTCTTTTCAAAACTAAACTGCTTATGAACTCACCGGCTTTATGCTGATTTTCAAACTACTTGTATTCTCAGGACAGCGTTAGACATGTACATCGCAACCTTTTGGAGAAGACGAAGCGTCTCGAAGACTCGTCTTTACTTTTGTTCGTACCATATATGTATAAAACACTTGTACAACTTTACTTGCAAACAGATGTAAACAATATTATGTAATGTAATGTTTTGTGATTACTACTTTACTATGTGCATTGGATTTGATACTTAACTTGGAGTCAACCCTGGAAACAGTTCCGCCTTTGGTTTTCGGGGTGTGACACCTTCGCATATATAACACGATCATCTTCACAAAAATGGCTGCTACCATTGCTTGAGTGGGCTCAAGCTACGATCGACAATCGGAGCTCAAAGCTTTTGACCAAACAAAAACCGGCATCAAAGGCCTCGTCGATGCCGGAATCCAATCGGAGCTAGGGCTTTTTGTGAATAATTTGCCCTGCCTTTCTCTACTGCGCGTTCTCTCTTCTACATCTCCACCCTCCAAGGAAATCCAATCACCAGCGATCCTATAACAGTTCTTTCTCATGCTCGAACCCTAGATCTCACCTCATACCTTGCTATATCTCTATAGCGACAGTGGCTAAACAGAAACTCCACCACCTCTAAGGACCGCTCGAACCCATTGATTATCTCACTTTCCTCCTCTGTTTGGGGGAGGAACTAATGACGAATAAATAACTTCATTTTGCGATTCAATTGCTTGATTTTGTCGATTCATATACGATTGCATCAGCAACTGATCCAATCTCGCACCAAAATATATTTGAAGGAGATTAGAGATTGTTCAGCTACAATCACGAATGACACAACCTTCACTCTCCTCCGCCTTCTTTATACATGGTTCTTTGGTATCTACATGTGCGCTAAAGGACTACATCACAAGTAACTATGGTGACATGTATGTGAAATTCCCAATTCAATAAATGCTACCATACCTAGATCTCGAGTATTCTATTGACTTTTTCTTTAATTTGCAGAAGTTCTCCTGGATTGGCATTTTAACGTGTGGATAATACTCTTCTTGAAGATGATGAGCCTTTTAAAGCTCCAGTTCGTTTTCAACTTCTCGAGCAAATAAAGAAACATAAAGGAGATGAAAGTATATCTTTGTGGCTGCCTTAGGCTCCCCCTAGATATTTATAATTGGTTTAGTGTTATCCTCTGCATTGATAACTAGGATCTGAATTGTTTTATACGTTTGGAATTGCAGATTAAACCATTATCTAACATATCATTGAGCAATATTGGATTTAGTCTTCATAGCAGGCCTGATTACCTCAATGCCACTATTTGCTTCTCATTGGCCGCCAGATCATATAATGATAAACTTGAAGCCTGGGAGCCTCTTGTTGAACCTGTTGATGGTTTCTTAAGGTAGGTTATATCTTTCTCTAGAATTTTTCAAATAGGTTTTAGTGATAAATTTATGAATGGATCCCTTTTCTCTTTCTTTCTCCTTGTTTAATGTCTTCTTGTTTGGTTTCAATGTGTAGGTACTAAAATGATGTCAATGCTCCAAGTGTTGCATCTCAATTACTTTTGGTGTCACAATGACTTTTGCTTTCACTGGCTTGGTCTCAATTGCAACCCTAAATATCATTGTCGGTACACGAAGAACTGCATCTTGGGGAGCACATATCTGCTCATCTGGGACCTACAATCCATTTCTTCAATGTAAGTTGATATTTGATATAATAAACTTAAAGGTTTTCAATTGAAATTTAAGCGCTTTCCTAACTACACTCACTTCCCCAAAAATTTGTTTGTTATTTAAGACAAAAGAAAAAATTGTGAATTTGATGGCATGCAACATGGGTTTTTAGATAAATCCTGATTCAAAAATAAGCTTACCTGAACCAATTCGTCAGAAGAAGATGCACATGCAGGAATTTTATCCCTTGGAAGAATCTTTATTTGTTCCTTTCTTTCAGAAGCCATTTGCTTGATTACACCACCAGATTTTCCCAAAAGGCAATCTACTTGAGTAGAAACTACAAGTAGCCTCACAACAAATGTTTCTTCATTCATCTTCACTTCTTCCACCATTCTTTCAAACACACAAAACAGCCCCTTCTGCACACAAGAACCCAAATATTTCCAAAACTCTTCCACTTTTAACCTTATTTTCTTGAGATACATTAGCACCAGTACCCTTCTTTTCTGGTTCTCACCTTTATGTCACCTTTGTAAATGGTGTTGTGATTTGAATGATGTTTATTTTTCTGTTTTTCTCCATTATGTCGTCTATTAATATATGATTTTCAAGATATCCTTTACTAAAAGGATACACAGTAAAAACATCAAAACTTTCAAATTGTTTTAAAAATGATCATTGTCCAGGCTGTCAACATGTGTGTTACCTGAAAACTAATTTTCAAATTTCTAGAAGTGAACAAGACTGTGCCCTCAACTAATCAAACATATGGTTCACTTTTAAAAAATCTGACATTTATCAATACATTTGTTTTTGGTGTTTTAGTTCCTAAATCATACATATGGCCTGTAGACAATGACTTCTATTTACAACCATCGACCTCATTGATCTTGGATGCCGACAAAGAGGGTTTACAAGTATTTGGTTAAGATTTCATGAATGATGTGCAAGTTGCATATAATTACAGTTATATCCCTATAGAAGCGTATCTCTATTTTGTGGATAATGGCAAATTCTCTGTGGATGGTGTGCTTTCCGATAATGCAGTGACTCCATCAGCAGCTTTTAGTAAGTTTTGAACCCTTTAAATCTCATGATATGATTCTGCATATATTGAAAAAGGTTGAATGCAAGAAATAACATTCTATTTCCATAAGTTAATATTTCTACAACCATGTAGGTTGTTTTTCTCATATTAGGAAAAAACATTCTCAGCCAGGTGTGTCATTTTATACACAATCATCTAACATTTATATATATTCATCATAAATCATAAATTAGATCCCTTGTTGCTTCAGGAAAAGGAAAGACTTTAATTATCTCATTTGAAGGAGCAATTGGGGAGTTTCCAGGGTGTAGCGATTCAACATACAGAGGCTTGTGCAAGTAGCAGTAAGCCTTTAATTATCTCATTTGATGTTTGAAAATTATATTGACAAAATAATGGAAAGCATGAGAAATGGAAGGGTTGTCGATATGGTATCTGCATCTGGTCCATAACTTCACCCCCTGTACAAACACACCAAAGAAAATCATATCTAACATGCTTATATTTGAATAAATTTAAAGTAAAACATTACAGAAACCTGAGTCTGACAGTCTTTATGTTTTAGTAACATTTCATTTTTCATTCAAGATGGTATAGATACAACATATCTGAGGTTTCTTGCATCAAATGCTGAAGCTGGTTCAATTATCAGAAAGGGTGAATCATAGGAAAAGGGTGGATTGTACCTAATAGCTCATGTGGTGGAATCATAGGAAAGGGTGGATCCATGATTAGGTAAGACCAAATTTGATCTATTACTTTGTAATTTTAAATTCATGACAACTTCCATTTTTGATATGTTATTACATTTACAGGTCCTTCATTGAAGACTATGGACCTAACATTAAGATCTCCTCTCAGGATCACAACTATATTGGATTAAATGATAGGCTTGTAACAGTGATTGGCACCCTACAATAACTGGTGCAAGCTATTAATCTAATTTTATTCAAATTATCCGAAGATCTCTACTATCTTCAGTCCGTTGGCCCCCCATTTCCGTATGTTGCTGGTATGCTTTTTTTTTTTTTTTGCTACCGATTTCCCTCATACATAGAAGAGTCCAGCAGGACTCACCACAGGCATGACACAAGGAACTACTAGTCTTCTTAGTAATACAGTTTATGCCATAAGTGATGTTGCCACCCAAGTCAGTTGAGCAGCATATAAGGTACATTTAATTCCTATTTTAATTTTTAAGTCCATGGTGTTAAATTAAACTAAGATGTTGCCCAGGGTATTGTTGCTTTTACAATGGACAGCCTATCTGCATCAGCTTTTTATCTATTTATTTTTTCTATTATCACATCTTGTCACTTCTCAATGACATTATGTGTTTGTTATAGGATCAAGTTCCAGAGAATGATGTCAAAGGAATTTCTAAGGATAAACCACTGTATGATCTATCTGTTGCTTTACATTAATGAGTAAAATTAAAGTTCTAAGGATATTCATATTCCCCTTCATTATTGATTTATATATCTACATGGTATAATTATTTTTTATTCTTCCTTCTGCAAAAAAGTATGCTTTTGATCAGTAGGAGGCTTTGCTATCCTTGAAGAAGAGTGGCAAAATTGATGAATTATTATTACAAGTAAAGCCAGCTGTCCATTTTTTATTTTTTTATATTAACATTTTAAATTTATAAGACTTAACAAGATTACCTCAATCATACTTTTCAGGGTAAAGAGTACATCTTGTTGCTAAACTCAGATAAGTTGGCTGAAGTTGTGGACCCAAGTATCCTTTTTAAGTTTATAATTGTTAGTTTCTTTTTGACTTAATATATATATATATATATATATATATATATATATATATATATATATATATTTGAGTATGGCTTCTCAAATATTTTTATAAAGATCATTTATCCTCGGAAAAATGTTATAAATTAAACAATTAAACAATAACCAACTATATGATTTTGGGATCCTTATGATATGTACCAGAGATTCTAAATCATCTTATCGAGAAGAACATTGAGTATTGCATGGAGGTAATTACTATAATGCCCTTTTCTTATATTTACTTTGAAAATGTTAATTCTTACCTTTTGTCTATGTAGGATCCACCAGGAACAGGAAAAACAAAAACAATTCTTGGGCTTCTTAGTGCCATATTATAAACCAGCTGAGTATATAAGTTTCTTAGTAACATATGCAGGTAACAATATTGTTCATAGTTGGGCTGTTAATGTTCCTGTTTGTTTTCATTTATGCAGGTTACAATCTTGTTGAAAGGACTTATGAATCAGATATTAATGGTAACAAGTTTAACACTCGAGTCCATACGATTAGATGTTAATGGTAACAAGTTTAACACAAGTGTCTTTGTTATATATACAGATTAAATGCAATGGATTGTATTTTTTGTATATGGTATTTTATTTTATATTATGCAATGGATTGTATTTTTTGTATATGGTATTTTATTTCTATTATGAGAGATTAAATGCAAATTTAATATATAAATTAATAAATATATAAATATTTTTTTTAAAAAAAAAAAAATTAGAATTACGATACGTAAAAATGTGTGTCATCTTCATTTATGACATGGCCTTTCTTGACTGGTGCTTCCTTGATACGCATTGTGTGTCATAAACACGCGCGTCGTAAGGTTACGACACGCAAATGCGTGTCGTCTTCCTTTATGACAGGGCCTTCCTTGATACGTATTGTGTGTCATAACCGCGCGTCGTAAATGCGCATCATAAATGCGCGTCGTCTCTCTTTATGACAGGGCCTTCCTTGACGTGCATTTGCGCGTCGTCTGAGCGTTTTACGATGTGCAATGAGCGTCGTAAAAGGCCTTTTTTCTAGTAGTGTGTTGACTTATGTGGCGGGCCAGGTCAGGACTAAATTGATGTGTCCAATTAAGTTCTATGTCAAACAAATCGGAAATCGGGAAACAAACTGTTGGACATTAAGTATGACTCTACTCCTTGTCTTTGTCCACACGATATCTGTAGAACGGAGGACTACATGATCCCTTATCTAAAGGACGCGTTATTAACTAAATTAGAGTTCGACAACAGCTTTTGAGAGCTACGATTGGTAATAAAACAAGATACGAATGGACAGGCCCATACCGTATACAAAATGGGCTAAGAGGCGACCCCAAGACGCAACATCAAATACCCAACAATCTCCCCCTTTGCGTCAGTGGGGCGAGACCTCACTCCAGCTTGCTTACGCCTGCAGCACTGGCTTTCTTCACAGTCTTGAATAGGCAGGGAATGATAGCAAGAAGTGTTTGTCGGAAGTGAATGTACCAATTGATCATATCGTTGAAGTATTTTTTTATCACTTTCCGAGTTCTGTTTGCACTGATTGATGATACCCAGAACATGCTCCAAGCAGGAAGTGCTGTATAGATGTTTGTCAGCCAAAGCAAATGTAACAGCCCAGATCCCCAGGTACCTTCATTTTCATATTTTTGATATTCTGTGAGGGGACTCAGCGAGTTGGAGGTCGAACTCGCCGAGTAGGGTCGCAGTTTTGGGCGGAGGTTCGCGTTCGGACTCGGCGAGTCCGTGCTGTTTAATGAAACCCTAATTTCCCGGTCCTATGCCATATTAAAAGGACTTTATGGCCTTCATTTGCGGCCACCTTGAACCCTAAGAGCACCCATACGACTGTGAGCCCTTGTGAGTGTGTTAGGAGGCCATTTGTTCATCATTTTGTGTATTATTGCAAGAAAGGAGGGAGAAGATCAAGCTTGAAGGGTTGGGGAGCTTGGATCTGCTTCTATTTCATCAAGGGAGCCTTCTTGAGGTAACTTTCAGAGCCAAACTTCGTATTTTGGGTTGATGTGTCAAATCTAGGGTTTCTTCTTGCATTTCTTGGCTTAAATTGGAAGTATGAAAGGTCCCATGGAGATATGGAACCTAGATCTGGACCTTATCAGGTCCAGGAGACCCCATATGACAAGCTTTATGTCCATTCTTTTGAGTTAGAAGCTAGGGTTGCCATATTAGAGGTTGTTTCTCCAAAATGAGCCTTGTATGCGTTGCATGGCGATCAAGACTGAGACTTTACGTGACAAATAAGCTTGGGAAGGCCAGATCTATGTATGTATGGAACGGATCTGACCGCAAAAGCCAGTTTTAGCTGGTGCATGGCATGGACTCGCCGAGTCTGAAGAACAGACTCGACGAGTCGCTTGAAGATTGTCCTTGAGACCACCCAGTGTGTAATCCTTACCGAGTTGTGGGTGACTCAGTGAGTCGCAGAGAGTTAGAAAGGTTTTGACAGGTGGACCGAGTCAAGTTGGGACTCGCCGAGTTGTCCTTACGACTCGGCGAGTTGAGTCGCAGTGGCCCTGTGATTCAGGCCC